CTCCTGATCTGGCATGCATCACCATTTTCAACAGAGCCAGTGCTGAGATTTTACAGTACTTAAAGTAATGGTGATCCTTAGTCCAGGGCTTCGCTGCCAGGATTTCTTGCTGCTGTTTTTTGTCGTATTTGTAGATTTCATCGATACTCTGGGCTTCCTGCATGTTGTTGGCCAGGTTTTCTGAGCCATACTGCTCCCGGATGCCGCCATCGCCGAGGAATTGGAGAAACTGTCGCCTCAACCAACCAAAACCCAACTTTACTTCGCTAGGTCTCGGGATGTGGGCCTCGGACCTTCCTCACTACTGATGCAAACTCTTCTAGATTCCGGAGGCAGCCATGACCTGGCCCAGTAATTCTTTTAGGAGTTTGTCGTGATGCATAAATAGCTGAGCGTGTGCACTATATTTTTGTAAATGTTAGAAAAATTTAGTTATTGATGCAGCAACATCTGCTTTGGCAAGTCTCATTATTATTATTATTTTTCCCAGAACCAGGGATTAAACTCAGGGCCTTGCACTTGCTGGGCAAGCACTTATTCTGCTGAGCCATCTCCCCGGCCCTCATTAGTAAGTCTTTGGAGTGCATGCAAAATATTTTGAAGATCATTTAAAAAGTCATTTACCTGCTCGAATTTTGACAGCTTGCGGGGTCAAACGCCTATTAATATTGTTAATGAGTACCTCTCGTTCATCTTCATTCAAATCTAAACTATCCAAAATAGATGGATCTCTAAAACAAAAAAAAATTCAGTTACATTACTGATAACTGTAAATCCAGGCACACTACATCAAAGAATAATGCACATGGCAGCAAAGCAATGACTTTAGCATCAGACTAAGCTAAAATTTTAGTCGTGCACTTTTAACTATGTGTCGTGCTTGGCCCCTTCCAAACATGCTTCCTTCCACACAATAAAAATGATGCTGAACCTTTTCCTCAAAAGATTGTCCTCAGTATTAACATAATGCCAGCACTTAGCAGTACTGACACAGAAAATACCTGATTGTCAGCGGAAAAAACTTTAGCTACACAGCTAAAATAAACAATTTAATCCCTGATATATGTTCCATCCAGCTATATTTAAGCATTTCCATGTCATTAGAAGTCACACTTCAAAAACTTCAAAATCTGGTTCAAAAAAGAACAAAAACAGGATACAATTTGTAAAATGGTAAATTTGTAGAATTTGCTCCATGGCATCAAAGGAGGAGAGTTACTTGCAGCTAGTAAGGCAGGAAGGGGTCTGCAGAGGAGGAACATCTCTCATCTGACTCCCCTAAGTGCCACAGAGAGGCACAGGATCCTAGTCTCTCGGATGCTAAGCCAAGGAAAACAATGACTAAAACAATAGGGGCTGGGAAGATGGTTCAGTGGAATAAGCGCTTCCCTCACAAGTGCAAGGGCCTGAGTTCAATCCCTGGTTCTGCCCCCCCCCCCAAAAAAAAAAAGAAAAAAGAAAAAGAAAATAAGAATGACAGCGCATTAACAAAGCATTGCTGTAAGAATGAAGGAATGGCCAGGTCACACATAAATCCTAGATGACACGGAGGTTGGTTAACACAAGACGACTTCACCTGAGGACAGGGAACTTCCCTTATGAGACACAATCTTGATATGTAGCCCAGGCTGGCCTTGAACTAACAGTGCTCCAGTGCTCCTCCTGCCTCAGCCTCTGCAGTGCTGGGATTATAGGAGTGCACACCATGCCTGGTGGGATTTTCATTTATTTCATTGTATCTGTGCTAATAGAAAGTAACAAGAGGACAAGCCAACAGATCACAAAAAAAGGACAAATACACAGAAAATGGACAAATGAGGTGAAAATATTTTAAGCTGGATATGGTGGTTCACACTTAAAATCCTGGCACAAGGAGGCTAAGGCAGGAAGATTGGTGCAAGTTGGAGACCAGCCACGATGCAGGGTCTGTTAAGTCTAACTTGATTTACATAGGGAGACCCTGGGTTCAAGAACCAAGAAATAACAACAAAAAAAGTGATCATAATAGAGCCATAATTCATATATCTTGCTGCCTTGTAGCTCTGATTTCAATTTAATTCATTGCCTGATGTTAAATAGTTAACTGTGGGTGGTTTAAGTCAGTGGGTATGTGTTCAAAAGCCTCACTAATGATCAGAAGTGTTCAAATCCAAAGACACAGGCAAGGGGGCCTGTCCCTTAGCTCAGTTCTTTAAGTGGCTGCTTCAACAAAGCAGTCAGGCTCAGGTTGCTGTGGTTCGATCCTCACAACTCCAGCCAGCCAAACCTGCCCTGAGGGCATTCCGACCAGCACCACCCCCCAAAAAAAATCCTTCTGCCAAAGACACAGGCAAAAGCAAATATTCTGATACGTCTATCAAATACTGATTGCTAGGTGTGTTGGCACAAGCTCTGTAACCTCAGCACTCTGGCAGGTGAATCACCAGTTCAAGCCCACACTGGACAACTTGGCAAATTATTATTTTTGGTACCAGGGATTGAACTCAGGACCTTGTGCTTGCCAGGCAGGCACTGGGATTACAGGCGTGTGCCACCATGCCCCATCTTTGTGGTTGGTATGGCATGTGGTATCAGGGATCAAATCCTGGCCCCTGAGCTTGCGTAAGCAGTAGCTTTGTCTGCTGAGCTATCTCACTGGCCCCAATTTAGTGAACTATTGAGGCCCTTTCTTAAGATAAAAAACAAGGTTCTGGTGATATAACAACACAGGGCAAGACCCCAGGTTCAATCCCTGGAACCACAAAATAAAATGAAGCAATCAAGCTGGAGAGAACAGAAATTACAGAATCAATCTGGAGAGTAACTTGGCAACACCAATTTACGGATTATATATATGTAAGTCCTAAAACCCAACAAATTCCATTTCTACGTACATATCTCAGAAATTCTAAATGTATATACACACACATTCACATGAATACTCATCATGGTACTGTTTGAATGAAAATGGGACAAAAGGACAAACTAGGTATCTGCCCCTTTGTTACTGGGGACCCACAGCTTCGTAGGTACTAGGCAAGCAATCTGGGCAACCCATTCTCCCTCATTCTTTTTTTTCTTTAGCAGAACTGGGGATTAAATTCAGACCCTTGTACTTGCCAGGCAGATGCTGTGCTTCTGAGATATATCCCTGCCCCTTATCCCTTTTTATTTATTAATTTTGAGACCTCAAACTTGTGATCCTCCTGCCCTGGCCTTCCGAGTTTCCAGGATTACAGGCATACCCAGTCACAATATACTCGTTTTTGTGTTTTTTGGGGACAGGATCTTGGTATGTAGTTTGGGCTGGCCTCCAACTTGTAGAAATCCTCCTGCCTTACCCTCTCAAGTGCTGGGATAATAGGCATGTAACACCACGACCAATTATGTTTTGGAGTAGGATGACAAAGTATATTCCCAAAACAAATTGCTACACAGAAAGTAATAAAGATGAAGTAGGTATACATCTTAGTCATCTGGGGAAATTGACTCCATCTTGTAAGGCAATATACATACTACAGAAACAACATACAGAAATTATTCTATATGCTATATGCACTTTATGGATACATACACAAGTTGTATATCCCTTATTCCAAATTCTTGGAACCAACAGTTTGGAATTTTTCAGACTTTGAAATACAGTGGTACTTTGGTTAACAAACAATTTATTATTTTGGGAGAGATGGCTGCATTTCTGTTTGTGTGGAGATGATTATGGTTGTGCTTGTGGTTTGTGAAAGAAAGCAAAATTTTGCCTAATGCTTTAGTTTGTGAATCTTAATTGTCTGCCAACAGAAGTATTCACTGTGAACCAAGGTATTTCTGTATTTGTATATATAGAATTGGCATCTTGGGGAGGTGTTATGGCTATGTCAAGATGTCCCCTCAGGGCCAGGGAGATAGCTCAGTAGAATAAG